CTCCCACAAAATGTCTAGCCGCCATTTTGCAAATTTCGATTTTGTTATATTCACCTGTAGGTGAATATAACAGCTTGATACGTCAAATTTGACCAATGAACTTGTAGGATTTGTATATATTCACTTGTGCAAAAATACTAATGATTTATGTTCACTCTCAGTACTCTCAGTGGTTGTTAGACAACTCTGAGGTTTTCTCGGAATCCCACTTGTGCATGGAAAGATGAATTCCAAAAACACGCCAAGAAAAAATCTCGCTCACAACACATGCAACACTACGCAAATAATATAACATGCGCTGTCAGACTTTGTAGCGAGTTGAATATAAGAACAAAGTTGTTTTTTTAGGTAACGTGGTCGAATGGCAAGGTGTTCAGAATTCATCGCGCATACGGAGAATTATTCGACTTTCAATGCAAGGTATACATAAGCAGCAAAATTATTATAAGACAATCCGTGATGTCGGCCACTGCGTATCCAAATGACACATTTTGCGTCAGGATGCAAAAGTGGCAGAATCTGGAAGATTTAAAATATGCGTATCAAAGTATTGAAATGTTAGTCACCTATTCAATGCATTTAATACTAGCGTACTTTTAGTTGGAGTAAAGTGCACTTAGCGCTTAAGTTGGAGTAAAGTGCACTTAGCGCAAAAGGAATTAGCGCTTCTCCCATTGGTTCATTTGCGTAATCGATTAATCGGTATCAACAGTTGATTAACAACATGGATTAATCAGATTGGATAAATCTAGTATATGCCCAGTGGTTAATGTCGCTTTCAAGAAAGGGGCACGTTTTAAAATCTTTATTTGACGGTCAAAGAGTGTATGCGCTATACTGGTAACAGAGAAATAAAAACAAGTCGCGTTTGTGGTTTAATTACATACCACCTCCTCGTATTTTTTTTCAATAGGGAAAGAAAGTTATCATGCCATGCTTGGCTGCTGTTTTGTTGATTCGATTATTGTTAAGAGTAATGAACTGTCAAAAATATCGATCAATCAGAGCGCTCTATTAGAAAGGAACGTATTTTGTATAATTTGAAGCGAGTGAAGCGTGCAAATTGTTATCGGGATCGAATTGGTTCATTATCGTGTTTAAACAACAATGGTATCTTTGTTACTAGATCATAGACAACTATATTTAGCGACCTATTTGCAGTTGCATGCATGCCTCTATTTTTGTATAGAGCTCAAAAGGATAAGATTTAAATTTAGCGGCATATAATAGGCTGTGATATAGAACATTGGATACGGATATAGCAACACCGCGGAAAAACGTCTGCGCATGCGTCAACCTTACCTGTAATAGTATTGCGAACTTGATGAGAAGCTGTTCCGAACGTTTCCGAAGTCTCAAAATGGCGGTAAAAAGGAGTGACTTCATTGTGCGTCTTTACAGCCAGATTTCGAGCGCAAAAATAAACATGTCATTCTAAAAACTGGGAATAAATACAGCCAGAAGGTTCAAGAAATTGTATTGTACAAGAACATGAACTAAAGGTGATTGTTGACAAATTTATCGTCCGAAACATTTTGTTTATCAACTAAGCAACGACAATTTCCGAATTTTCGTTTGAGATACATTTCTTTAAAAAAAACTGTGTCGCTAAATATAAAAAATTTTCGTGTTCACAACAATTAAACTTTAGGATTTATTCTACAATTTGAGTGGGTTAAGATGCTTAACTTTTCGAGAGTTTTCTTAACTTTTTAGTTTGAATTTTTGTTTTGAATAATTTTGCAAAAAATTTCGAAGTCGTGTCCGTTAAAATCAACAATTTTTTACATGAATTATATTTCATTCCATACTTTAAATGCCAGGACGCTTTCAATTAATGTCTAGTCTACCCATTTGCTATATTTTCTCGATTGTTCTACTAATTTTTGACCAATTAATAAGCATGTTTTTGTTTTAGAAATTGATATTCAAATTCCCCGCCATATTTTCATAATTTGGTGCATGCGCAGACGTTTTTCCGCGGTGTTGGATATAGCTGTTTAGCTACTGCGTGTTGTGCGCACTAAACTTACTATGCTGCGCAGTGTTGAACATTAATAATTACTTGAAATTTTGTTCTGGTATGTATTGAACTGATATATTGGCTTACAAACATAATATAATTAACGTGCTTCTAAGAATGATGACGAGGTCCAACAGCTAGAGATATTCCTTGGTAAAAACATTAAACCGTAGCCTTCATTTACTATAGGGATTAAGGTATTCCATAACTTCACAAATTTCATCTATCACTGCACAAATTGGTTATCAATGCACCCTAAAATAATCCCTGCGAGGATGAGCGAGTTGATTGCGCACTTTCAAAGACATGAGTTATTCATTATTTGTTTCTTATCTAGCTTCGCCGCCGTTTCTCTAAAGAAATAAGCAAAATGACGGAAAGAAAGGTCATTCCTTATCTTCCAGGTTGGTGTATAGTATATATAGTCTATAGAGATTATTTAACAAATAGGTAATATTTTGCCGTTGTCTGTCCAGTTATATATACACAGTGTGACGTCGAGAGGGTCAACTTTTTTGTTAAGGTTTTGTGTGACGTAGTTCCGTGCGTCTGTCTTTTAATAGATCATTGCTCTCGACCAATGAAAGCGTTTGAATTCTTAACGTTATTATATAAAAAATAATAGAGAGGGCATTACGTTCATATATTCAGGGACGCCGGAACGATGTGAAGGCAAGGGGGGCAGATTTTCGTGAAAGAGCACTTTTGAATTGATATATACTAAGAGATGTTTGCAAAACATCGGGAGTTAAACTTCACCTAATCATGTTTTCTATTTATTCGATGATAGGGGTGTGAGGGGTTCTCCGCGCCAGGCGATTTTGCTATTCTTGAAGCTCGATGACTGCATTTCTTGCGTTTTCTGAAGCAAATTCGTAAAAGAATTGCACTAACATTTCTGACAATTCGCTATTTCGCCAAGACAATCCTTTAAATTGAAAGGGCACCTTTGACCCCCTTGCCCTCCTGGTAAAGGGCAACGGGGGCGGCTGCCCCTCCTGCCCCCCCCCCCAGTTCCGGCGTCCCTGCATATACTGGCAGTCAAACGAAAGAAACAATTTGAAGCTTGGTAACGGGGACCACATTCATGTGCAAAAACTATAAGAATAGTTTTTTTATTATTTGGTTTCAATTGTAGTATTGAATCTTAGTTTTTTAGACAGTCCCTGACTGTTTTACTTAGTTTACTTGCGGCAAAAAATTGAGTGTCCATTTTGGAAAATGATAAAAATTTGAACGTGTGGAAAGCCAGGGAAATACACTCTACCCTTCGAAACCGAAAGAAAAACACTTCGAAACATTTCTAATTCTATCATTCCAAATTCCAAAACTTGTCTTGTACTAGTAAAGTCCAGGTATTCTTCATTATTTTCGTTGGTGTACCTAAACATTGCGACTTTGCATCTGGGAACGAGATTTTTCATCCGAGGAACGAGACTTTGCATCCGAGGAATGAGATCTTCGCCAATCAGCGCAATTGGTCCCTATTGAAGGAAGCTTCAATTTCTTCCTTGATTTTTCCATAAAGCCCACTATTCTTTGTATTCTCCATGGGTCATTGTTACATACATGAATTTACCAAACCATATACCACAAGTAACCGCTTTCTATCTTTTCAGCCCGTAAACCAATCAAACTCTGTAAGGGAAATCAAATACTACCTGATATAACTCATTATGTTAGGTAAGTTATTACATTTGTTTGTCATTGGCTTTAGAGTCCATCATAATTTAGAGCCCGTCATAATTTAGAGCCTATCCCCTCAAATTGCATCCCCTCCCTCCCTCCCTCGTATAAATCTATAAATGTTTGACTAATATCAGATAGGCCAATTGACTAGTTAGTACATGACGTGTATGTCCAAAAATACATTATTCACTTTATTTTTGTATTCACAGACAATTTACGAAGCTCCCTGAAAAACTGTTGCACAGCGAATCAGTTGAAAACTTTTTCAGTGACGGCACGGAAAAGCATTTGGACGAGAAACAACCAACTTCAAAAACGAAACAAAATTGCAACCATGAGAAGAAAGATCACACAAATGCCACCTGTAAGCACACTGATGCGTCACGTGTCAATGTGGATGTAAAGTCTGACAAAGGAACTGGATCGATAAAGAATCATTCGCCCAAAGGTTAGATTTGCATATACGTACACGCCCTGGTTAAGCAGACTTGTACTTGATGCTATTCCTGCTTAATGGACCATTTGCATTATAGACTAAATTTTGATCTAGACAAAAATTTCATCACAGCTTGAAAGAGCATCACAAAATTAGTAATATTCCAAAGTTTCGTTGCGAAATGTTGTAAAATGCGGATAATATAGCCTTGCGAAATTTGCAATTTTCAGTCATTTTAGATTACAAACGGGAAATTGATGCCCCAACACTCGATTGGGCTGTCAATTTCCCGTGCGTAATACAAAATGACTGAAAAACGGCAAACTTCCCATGGCTATATTATCCGCATTTTACAACATTTCGCAACGAAACTTTGGAATATTACTAATTTTGTGATGCTCTTTCAAGCTATGATGAAATTTTTGTCTAAATCAAAATTTAGTCTATAATGCAAATGGTCCATTGGTAGTTCCGACACTCCGTAGTTTATACGGTTGCTACTATGGTGCTGACATGCATGCATAAACAATCTCATAAACACGTCCATTTTGTTTTTTTATCCTTCAGAGGACTACCTCAATTGTTAGCTGTGTCTGCAAAACAAATGTGTGATTCTCTTATTTAGGAAAATATTTAACTTCTTTTTCTGGTAAAAAGTTACAAACATCTGAGAGATTAGACTCGAGGAAACGGCCTCCTCTCAGTCCTAAAACTAACACAAGTGGTATGTTGGTATTTTATTTAATATTTTTAATTACTCATTGCTTGCTAATATTTTATTTTAATCCTTTCTTGTTTATTTAATCACATAATAATGCTTCATCTGTATTTGAATTCATTAACCTGTTTGAATTTATTTAGAACCTCTTGGTCCTTTTGTAAAATTAGTAAAAAATATTAGCTATTCTCAACGCATTTTGGTAATGATGTTACAAATATGTGACAACATTTGCGATGACATATTTCAGAAACGCTTTCAATTAACGTAATAATTGCCTTAATTATTTAAGCCAACGGCCAGGGTTCGAATTAGCGGCTCGCTATTCGCAATTTGCATGCGAATGTAAATTCGCTTTTTGCGAACGGAAAATTGTTTTTGCGAATGACGTTTTGCAAAAACAATGTATTAAGGTTACATAAAAGGTTGTTTTGCTGACTATTATTGTAATTTTGCACTAAAACGATTTGTGAAATGAAGGATATGGCTACAATTTCTTCAGAGAATTTTAATACGAAATTCGCTGTGAAACGACCGCCATTTTGTTTTTCGCAAGCCATGCATGGTTTCACTTTTCAAAACTGACATTTCTTTCAAATTTTCAAGAAGGAAATTTGCGAATCGATTTTTCATAATTCGAACCCTGCAACCTCTGCATGCTTCCTTGATAGACAAAATTTTCATAAATTATTACTGTAACACCCGTTTTCACAATAAGGCGACCAGGTCGAAAATAGTCCGAGTTGATATGTCAGTTTTTGTATCACGGTTTTACATGTGGTTCGTTTTGTACGCTTTATATACAAAAAGTTTAAAAGAATTTTCAAAATTATTGCAAAATTTAAGCACAACAAAGTCACCACTATACACAGCCAAATTCGAGGTTGAATAGCTCTTTTTCAAATTTTCAAAGTCATTCAGGACACAGATTTCTGTTTTGATGGTTTGTTTCTTTCTTTTAGTTTGTATATCTAGCTCACTTTGGTTAAATATTCTTCTTTAGGTATTAAATACGGTTTAAAAATATTTTTTGTGTACTTTTCCTGTTTTTGGCAGTCCGCGTGACATAAAAACTAGGCTAGGTCGCGTAATTTTGAAAACGGGTGTAATGATGTTACAATTGTAAGCTGGACTGTTTAGTATTTAACTGAAATATAACGTCCCTTGCAGACACAGCGACAACATCAAAAGTTGAAAGCAAAGCAAAAACTAACCACCATCGACCGAAGACTATCTTGAAGTCACCAAACGCATCATCTACGCAATCTTCAACACTGGACAAAACAATTAATGAACAAATAAAAACAGATTCTTCGTTACCTACTCAAAATAGTTTATGTACTGAAAAACTGGAGCCAGAAAGAACTATTATTTCTGAAGATATATATCTCAAAACTAGTATTAATGACTCAGACAATAGAGATACAATAGCAAGTGAATCGAATCCAAGAAATGACATTGATATGGCAGAGAACACAGATTCGCGTCCCTCAACATTACATGTTGTGAAAGAAAAAACGTCTTCAACACAGACTCCACCTTCGCCGTCCACAGACGCATCGGTCGTTATGTCATCATCGACAGTTTCGTCATCATCTCCGTTACCAAAAGAGACGTCATCGGTTCCTGAGGCATCTGCAATGGCCTCACTGGGCGATAAATCTTCCACTCATACGTCATCAGGTTCCTCAACAATGACGTCGTCGACAACTACGTCATCGGAGATTATGTCGCCGGAAACGTTGACTGTTTTATCATCCCCACTTACATTATCGTGTTCCACGCCATCGACTGCGATTTCATCACCAATTACGTCATTGTCTATGACGTCGTCAAACTTATTGACAACGACTTCGTCAGCAATGACGTCATCGGAAGTGGCGTCATCAACGTTGACGTCATCAGCAGTGATGTCATCCACTTCATCATTCACAACTTCAACCATTTCAAATATGACGCCATCCACAACTTCTACAATTACGTCACTTACGGTAAATATGATTACGTCATTTGCAAAGCCAATAATAACGTCGTCATTCTCAACACCTCCCGATCTCACTGTTAAATCGCCGCAAACACCACTTACTGTAACCGTACCGATGCTTTCGCCACCTTGTACTACGTGTTCAATTTCTAACCAATCATCAAGCGATGGTTCTGTGACGTCATCGTTGTCAAGGACACCGCTTAGTTCCCCAGCCATTCCGAGAACGCCTGATGACATGAGCGGACAGGAGAACGCAGCAGACACGGAGTTTTGTTTTTATCCACGTATGTGTAATGGTTCAATGTCTTCTGGAAAGTGCCGATCACCTGAGTCAAAATTATGTCAATGTAAAAAGCTGGAACACGATTCGACTGAAGATCAGGTACTTCATATCATAACGATATTTAATTTATTTTTAATAATCTACCGTGGTCTGAAATACATCAAAATATGGAATGTGCGATTTTGGGGTTGCCAATATTATTTCCAGTCTTCGTTGCCTCACATTTAGTGCTTTTCTGCTTAATTAACATCATGAGTGTCAGATGTTGGGATCCGACCTGCAAGTGAGTGGAATTAACTGCAAACCTGGTTCAGAAGGTCTTGTACACGCTAGTATCGTAGAAATTTTTCCCTATCTCTTGAAAATTTCAATTTTGCAACCAGATTTAATAGGTGTCTCTTTTCTATAACATTTCAACTCTAATCTCTTGTCTGGACTAGTGTGGATGAATTTATTCATTATGAACTTGTTATAAATATTATTGTGCTGTCTTCTCCTCAGGTTGTAGATCGTTGTGGCAATGATACGATGAAATTAGACAAGTGTACAGAAAAACCAAGATTAAAAACTGCCGTTGATAATCTAAGGTAAACGTTCTTGAATTATATTTCAAAAAACTTGTGTAAGCATTGGAAATATCTTTCACTTGTCTGATGAAATAGATTGCCATTTTTCAGGCTACTAGCTATCATTTGAAGCCTTTCAGAAATTATGGGAGGCCGGTTGGCCACCCCCCCCCCCCTTCCCCCTATTGTACGCCACTGTTTAAAAAATTATAAGAGGCTAGTGTGTTGAAATAAAAGCGATGGATGTGCGAATGAAAGTACATAATAATGACGCTTTTTTACTTCACTTTACAGATCAAGTTCTGGCAAAAACGGATACACGAGTCATCACCACAATATATTACCACATGGCTTACTTATAGTTCCTAACGGTTATAACCATCCATCCTCATCAGACCCTAGCTTACCTTATAATGATCACGACTGTCACACGACAGATGGAACCCACCACGACGGTTTCACATCGCATGGTGCAAAAACGAACGATAAAAATTGTAATTATATTTTTCAAAATGGCGAACATCATGATCAAACGCTGGATTTCAATTCAAACAACTCTCACGAATGCAAGTACACAGTAAGTTACACTTAAAGTCTAAATGAATAGTTGTGAAAGGTTTGTGAGTTTAGGTAGGCTTGCATGTGCTCTACTTAAGAAATAGAAAACATTTCTATTATAGATACAAGCGTGGGAATTTAGTCGGTGGAAAAACGAGCCCTGGAGCTAGTATTTTCACGTTATTTCGAGTTCTCCCAAACTATCACAAGTGATTCTATATCTGTATTCCTACACAGGAGACCATTTTCTATATCTTTTATAATTTATAATATAATCGAAGAAAGTTTTTATGGCCATTTTCTATATCGATTAATTAACAAATTCTTGTTACCCCTTTATACAAATGCTCGTCAATTTGACCATAAAATAGCCAGGTCATCCTGTATTTAAACTGAGAATGCTGCATGGTTTGGGTGGTTAATCCAAGGGAGCATATATATGCACAATTTAAGACCTAACCAGGATTCCTTTTTTTTCCGTGATTGCTTAATTCCGTTGACGGAACTAGTATGATTGTAGATGATAGTTTTGTGCATGTAAATATGACGTCAGTTTTACAGAGTTAATCGCCACGCCAGCTCGTAGGCTATCGTGTTTGCAGAAAGAAAAAATACTGTAAAGCCATGAAGAGATTTCCCTCAGTAGTAAAAGACGATTTAAAAAAACCATTGGATGAATAAGAGGCGTAAAACACTAAACGAGCTACCATGACGAGCTGCATTATTTCAAAAATACTTAATAGTTTTTGATGAGCATCTTCATGCACGTAAAAAGGAAAAGTTAAGCGTGCTTGAAGAGAGCTAACCTAGACTTTCTTTTTCAGCGCTATTTAAACCAAAAATCAAACGGACTTTCCAAACCTTTCTGTTACAACTGTGGAGAACATGGTCACCACGGCAGTCAGTGTTCTGGAACAGAATTAGAAGAATCCATTGTCTCATGAGGAATGAAGATTTGCCCTAAATTAGAGTCCCCAGCCACACTGGCGCGTTCTGAGCAAAGTGAGCTATGAAAAATCGTTCAAGATGATAAGTGAGAATTTTCTTAATTTTCTAAGAAATCTTATTTATTCACTGTAAAAACTGATAGGTTAAAACAACCAAAAAATAGATTGTTTCAGTTGGTCCAGGAAAGCCTGTTTAATAAAATAACTAAATTTAAGTTGGTTAAAACAACCCATTGTATACAATCAGGTATTTAACCTATGATATATGGTAAATTTTAAAGCGTTTTTACTGCAGCTTCTTTTGAGACCGAAACGTTGTTTTGTGCGACAAATCCTAATAGCCTTACAGTTATTGAATTTGGTTTTTGTGATATCCGGAATTACAAAGGTCTCTGTTAGCGTTGTCAGTCTCGCTTTCGGCTCGACTGATAACACTTACCTCGACCTTGCAATTCGGTGATAATACTGGATATCACAGAAACCTCAACTGTTTATTATATCAACAGTTCGTTAATTAAATTAAGGAAACAAATTTTTTGAAACACTAAACTAGCAACAATTATTTCTGACAGGAAATATGAACCTTGACTTCTCACTAAGTACCCATTATATAAGAACTTAACCACTTCAGCCTGCATGACATAAAAATAGTGGTCCTTTTCATGAGGCTTTTTACCAGTAGCTTCGGACACAGCCATCAGTTTAAAAACTGCAGCAAAGTGTGATCTGATTTTTTATAAACAGTTAGTGGCAGAATAAGGTTTGTCTGACATCTAATCAGCCGAGTGCTTGTTTTATTATTTTATATAATACCTTATTGAATTCTGATCGTTTAATTGGCTGTTTATGGTCACGTGATATTGAATAGAAAATTCCATTCCCCAAAGTGCAATGGAATACGTTCCATTGCACTCTTTGCGAGTGCAATTGTACTATACGTTTTATTCCATTGCATTCTTTGTGTTTTCGCGAGTGCAATTGTATACGTTTTATTCCATTGCACTCTTTGTGTTTTCGATAAATCGCATCCGTCAAAATGCTTCTCATACGAATCTATTAGTCTATTTTGGTATTATATAAAACAAATAATGTATGTTTATTCGTGCAATGGTAAGAATATTTTCATGAGAGGTGAAAGATGGAATGTTCCAAATATTTTTACCATTGCACTCACAAACATTTCATTATTTGTATACTATTGCACTGTTATTTAGCCCGTTGGCGCATTCACTAAAAAATCTGTTTGAATTTCCTAGTGCGAAAAACGCTTATTTTCCAAAAATTAAATACTGATAAAAAAACATTACTATGTATAAATTTAAAAACAATCTTAGAAATGCCTCTATTTTAGAAATCTTAAATGTTGATGATGATGGCCTTAAGACGAATTATTCGTTTGAAAGTATGTTTTGTTTTGGACGTAGAAATACTTTTGATGCGATGAAAGTCGTATTCCTCTATCCAATTATTCGACCGTATGTACGTACTACCTTTCTTTCAGACTTCGATGGTATCCAGTATTTGGTATCAGTATCGGCCCATCCCTAATTACACACACCCCCAAATCAGTGGCGGACACGGTGGAAGGGGCAGGCCAACCACCCCTCGCCTCGCCCCCCAATATAATTTCTGAACACCTTTGAATGATAGCTGAATAACTGTGTAACAGAGTTATAACGAGAGTTTTTCGATAGGTTATCTATAAATTAAGCTATATATTGCATGAAATTTAAGGCAACAATTGTCGTGGTGGTCATATGTTGGCAACCTAATTACCCCCCCCCCTGCCCCAAGTGTCCGCCGATGACCCAAATTAAAGTTCTTTCAAAAGAATAATTCGTCCATAATATGTATGGGGATCCTATTCAAATGGACTTTAAACATTCGTTATGTGCACAAGCAATATAGAAAATTCATTTAAATTTAACTTATTTATGTAAATAATCTCCATTTTAGTTCTATATAGGTTGTTAGATTGCGAAATTAATTATGAAGGTTGAGTTTCAATATATAGAAAATTATTTTATTAAATGCAAATATATACATAAGGAATTTAATATCTACGCAAAGAAAAATGAATAAAATTCTTAACAACCAGATGAAATGTGTATTGAAACATATTCTGTAAATTATACTGTCCGGACACGAGTGATCCATCCATTAAGATTGACATGCAGTGTCATACCAGTCTACTATCAATTTTGGGTCGCGATAGGAATCCATTGGATAGTCTTTAGCATGGATCTACATGAATCCATCGACATATACACCAGTGGCAAGTACACAAGCCTGCTATGTACATTGGGTCGATAGGAATTCAATGAATTCATCATCCATTACTCTTTCACTATAGGCAAGTCAAATGTCCGTGCAGGACATGGACCATTTGAATGTCCATTGGACCATACAATGGACCATTGTACGTGTCTCCTGGGCAAAAGCACTATACTCTACTTAACAATTAGACAACGAGGCCGAGTTGTCTATGAGCGAATAGTCAACGAGGCGAAGCCGAGTTGACTATTTGCTCACAGACAACGAGGCCGAGTTGTCTAATTGTTTTAGTATAAACTTTAACATTAATTTACAACTAGGCTGCAAACACAATACAAAAATACACAAAAAAAATATAAAACCATTAAAGGTAAACAAATATTTTAGTTTTTGTTCGCGTAAAATGTTTTACAAAATTCAGTTTTAATTTTAAAATTTCATTGAGTGTATGTTATTTTGTCTATTTTCTTACCCTTAAAAATTGCCATTCCATATTTTTGTTGCTTTTTCGGGGGTTTTTAGTACAGAATTGTTCAACAAGTCGTCCAAAAAATCATCAGACACTTCGGCAAAAGTGCAAAACGCGAATTTTCCGCCATTTTGAATTTTCTATTAGTAGGCTATCACTAATAGCCTACTAGTAGCGTAGCCAATGAGAAGGCACGATATGTGATAGCCTACTAGTAGGTTTATACTAATATACTATATAGCCTGCATGTTATCCACACGCATGTAGTCGATCGCATTCTAATGACGTTATCTGCCATTACTTCCCCACTGGACATGCGGAATGTGAATTGGATGTTTCTATGTCCATTGGATCCAAAGGAGCATTGGGCATATTCCGTTGGTAAACACTCTAACCTGTTATCCCACATAGAGTTGATAGAATCCAATGGCACAATCCGCCATTACTTTTCCACTGGACAACTGAAATGTCTATTGGACATTTTCCTGCCTATTTGGTCAATGAATCATTTTCCACAGATTCTGTTAGCAAACAGTCCAACCTGCTAACCACATTGGATCAACGGAAACTATTGACATCGTCTGCTTATAATTTTGCATTAGCCAAATGAAATGTGCATTGATCATTTGACCATTGGATCCAATCAGCCATGACTGGGCATATTCCGTTATATTAACAAACAAACTACAGTAGCCTGCTATCATGCACTGCCATATATCATCTTAAAAAGAACAAAACAATAGACACTCCGAATATAGTTAACATTTTATTCAACGTTTCGACTAGGTTTCAGTCATCATCAGGAATGACGCTATTGAAAAATACTGAGATATATATTTACAAGTTAAGCGGATCAAATTACGCGCTAATTAAATATCACAAGTTCCTTAGAGGCTCTAGTTCCGTGATTAAGTTCCGGTTTTTGGCGATGTATAAGTAAGGACTCCTTATATAACAATAATGACCAATGTCTAGATTTATCTAAAATAACACAGTTTTGGTATATGATGGCTTCTGTGGTATGTGGATCAAATTGAGCAAGTAGTGTGTTGGGTAGGTTTAGTAGGGTCTGGTAATATTGGAAGTGTTCACATGACATAATATGTTTGTGAACTTCTGAGTTTTTGTCGGAGGAGTGTTCTTTAATCCTTGTTCTGAGGCAGCGGTCAGTTTTTCCGATGTACGATAATTGACAACCAGGACAGCTAAATTTGTATACAACACTACTTTGGAGCTCTTTATCCGTTCGGTCTTTTAGGCTAAGAGAAACGTTAAAGAACACTCCTCCGACAAAAACTCAGAAGTTCACAAACATATTATGTCATGTGAACACTTCCAATATTATCAGACTCTACTAAACCTACCCAACACACTACTTGCTCAATCTGATCCACATACCACAGAAGCCATCATATACCAAAACTGTGTTATTTTAGATAAATCTAGACATTGGTCATTATTGTTATATAAGGAGTCCTTACTTATACATCGCCAAAAACCGGAACTTAATCACGGAACTAGAGCCTCTAAGGAACTTGTTATATTTAATTAGCGCGTAATTTGATCCGCTTAACTTGTAAATATATATCTCAGTATTTTTCAATAGCGTCATTCCTGATGATGACTGAAACCTAGTCGAAACGTTGAATAAAATGTTTACTATATTCGGAGTGTCTATTGTTTTGTTCTTTTTAAAATATATCATCTGCCATATTACTTTTCCACGTACTGCATGGACATGTGAAATGTTCATTAGATATTGAATCTAGTAGAAATACCAAGTATCCAATGGATTTACGTAAATGGACTGTACGTTCGACACAATGGAGATGCTAATGTGCGTCCAACGGTCTTTGCATTTGTCTATATTGGACGTTGTAAAGGCTGGTTGTCTGTGAGCAACGAAGAAGGAAACGCACAAAACATTTTGACCACCGACAATGGGCATCGCTGATGTTTACGATAAATGAAATCAGTCTTGAATATATAGATGCGTAATCTCTTACTTATGTGCCATAGCTATCTGGCTTTAAAGGCAGCCTGGATTTCACTAACGACGCATGCGCATGCAAAAGAAGATACAAAAGGCCAAAAAGAAACCATTGTCGTTAATTTAAATAATCATCTTATTTATTCCACAATCACAAATCCTATTTTATTTAATATTAGGATGTTAGGGTTGGTAATCCAAGTGAGAATATATACATTTTAAGACCTAACCAGGAACGACTGCGAAAATGCAGCACAAGGTCCTCTGGTAGGAATTGAACCTACGGCCCTGCGATTCCGGTGCAGCGCTCTAACCAACTGAGCTACAGAGGCCAGCTGTTGAGCTGTAACCGTAAGTTCGTGTATATATAGGTAATCGGGTGTGCGGGTTGTGATAAGGTGGATCAGTCTCAGTTGGTTAGAGCGCTGCACCGGAATCGCAGGGCCGTAGGTTCAATTCCTACCAGAGGACATTGTGCTGCATTTTTCGCAGTCGTTCCTGGTTAGGTCTTAAAATGTATATATTCTCACTTGGATTACCAACCCTAACATCCTAATATTAATTCCACCAAGTGAAGTGCAAGAATCTAAGTTATTTTATTTAATCCCCGAGAAATTTAAATTTTCTCAAGCAATTATTTCAGGTTTTGTTATCTTTTTATTTGTACAATCATACAAATCGGTTTTTATTTTTATAATTGCATTCTTCTAAAATTTATCCTGTACTTTTCTATTTTTTTGCCAGACGAACATTCCATTCTTACATCCGAAATGTTCGCATGCTTTTTTGCGTAATACCTCTGCACTCCCGCCACAAAGAAAGACCCCACGACTTTTATCATGAAGATATTTCCCTTTCTCTGGGTTTTTACCGACCTTCAAGCATTCCTGACCACGAAACCCTCCTTGAAATACGTTCTCTTCTGCAGTTCCCTTGATCGGGTTGTACCATCCGATAATATAAGTGCAAGGCAGATGCTTAGATTTTTTCATTCCCATTCCGAACTCCTTCGCACTTTTCCAAACCATTCTTTCAAAGTTTTCTACTGTTGCGACATGTTCACTGACTTTCTCGTATGTTTTAAAGTTGTAGCTGCAAGCTTGTCGATACCTAGAATATAATTCGTAAATATATAGTTTAGTTGCTTACGAAATAGATCTTTGGAATATGAATGGTTTCATTCTTTACGATACGTCGAAATTCAATTTGCATTTATTAATGAAACAAATTTAAATTGAAACAATCTGTTATTCAGTTTCTCTGAAGATGTGTTCGCACTGCCGGTTTTGAGGAATACATGTTCATGATGCCGGATTGACCGCGCGCTCTTACTGCTCTTCGCATATACGTGAAAAGACTGAGATCGACGGTATGGCCACCGAGTTTGGCTTCAAAGTTCCGGTTGGAGGTAGCCTTCCAGTTACACTCATTTCGCTGGTTCGAACAGTTTGTAGCTATCAAATCTCTTTTTGTCATCAACCTTGTAACAAGATGGTAACAAGTTATTCCATAATTATACTTGTCACAGCAACTGTGAACAAGCAATGTGAACACATCCTGATATCGGCTTGACAATATGAGTGATTCCTTACCATTCTAATGTGACGTTATATGCGGTAAAATTGAAACCGCAAACCATACAGAAATTTTCTGCGACGTCTGTGCTGTCACTGAGAGCTGAAGGTTTAATATCATCTTTTTCTGCGACTTGGCTTACCCAGTTACCCGCCATTTCACTCAACGTTGTATTCAGCTTTAGTGGTGGAACATTATGTCTTTGACGATAGCGGTTTTGGTACTGCAGAACATCATCTTTAAATGTGTCCATTGTGCCTTATAGAATTTAAATTATAGAGATAAACTAAACGAAACTGCACTAGACCGAAACATTCTAAAAGTATTTGTGTTACGTGCATCTGAAGCTAAAACTCGATACTTAGACGTGGATCAAGTCCGTCTCTCAAGAGTCCGAGGATCGGACGCGCGAGGTGGAATAACGCGGGAAAGTTTTTTTGCGCTCGATCTCGTTGCCTCGCGATTCGGATTTCGGACTCTAGAGAGACGGACTTGACCCAAGTCTACTCAATACTTCGCCTTCGGAAATCGAATCACTCTCACGGAGGTGAAAGCAGGGCTGTAGCACCCGGGGGGCTGAAGCCCCCCCCCCCCCCCCAATAATTTGTGAACTAGCGATTATCTGTGAAGTTTGAGAGGGAAATAATGACCTAATAATCGCCCCTGATTAATCCCAATACAAAATTGCTTCCTACGGTAGTGGAAAGGTATACTGTGCCATCAAAAAGTATATCCAAAGTTGATAATATGCATATTTTCATTGGAAAATATGCGTATTTAGCCGGACAATGTTTCGAGTAAAGTGGATTTGCAAGACATCTAACTGATAAATATCAACATTGTAAGGGGGGAAGGGGCAAAGTATAGGTAAACTGAAAACTCAAAACGTCTACGAATTTATTCTTTTCCTGCTAGGATTGTAGTTATAGCGTTTTCTTGCTTCGTGAGTAGTAACCAAATATGGATTTTTCTGGCTAGTATAGTATATACGGTATGTTATGTTTATGAAAAAACTGTACCAACCAGGACAAATAGCAATCATTCCTGACATGTAAAATATCACCAAGAAGAATCTCTTCATTTCGGACGACATATACTGATTGCAGATGCTGGAATTAATAAAGCACGAGATTTACTGAAATGTACCGGATATGACAGGAAAATATGAAACCGATCTGTATGTATTTATTATATATGTTTAATTTAATCTAATTTTTAGCAATAACAGTGAAGTTGCATTTTTCGCAACTGTGCCTGGTTAGGTTTAAAAATGTATATGTAAATTTGTTCCAAAATTCCATCTAGGGAAACCTTTTCTGGGCGATAGGCCATGGCTGATGGCACCTCTAACTGTTAGGGGCCCTGGATGAGCGTTACGCCACTGAACAATGTGTATAAACGATGCAATATTTTAGTTATATAAAATGAGTAATGCGCACGAAGTTATTATTGGTCATTGGCTCTCGACAGAGGCTGATGTACCATGATGTTAACAATCTTAATATATGCGTAGATAACACTCAAATTAAAAGAGTACAGTACACGAAATCCTTAGGTCGGTAACAATTGATGAAAAAATTTAACTTGGAAGAACCATATTGATACTATCTGTAAAAAAGTATCCTCAGGAATTGGTGCCCTCAAACGAGTGAGGCGATTTGTAAACCGGGAAACTGCAGTGAAAGCGTACAGAGGCTTAATTGAGCCTTACCTTAATTACTGCTGCCCGGTTTGGGACGGTATCGGCAGCGAGCTGAGCAGTCAGTTACAAAAGTTACAAAACCGTGCTGCCCGTATGATCACCGAAAGCACATATGAAAACCACTGTATATGCTTGTATATACATGGCCAATTCTTAAATCTGTTTGGCTAATACAGGCGCGACTTACTCTATAGTAGGATTGGAGACGGTAAAATTTGGCGCCCTTTTAAGAGCGACAAGTTGCCGGACATGACGGCACTTTGTAAGAAATTTAAAGTCCACCCCCAGCTAAATAATACGAATTAACTTGCACCAAGTCTAACAAAAGATCCGCTTTCGTATATAACCTCAACAACTTACCGTTCAATTACTTCAATAGATTGTCTTCTTCACTTTTGTACTTACTACCTTTGTAAGTCTTGTAACTTAATTAAAGGGATTTTTAAATGATCGAAGAATCGTTCAACACAATTAAGTTTTAATTCATTCATATAAACGGTATACACGATGTATACATGTATTGCGAGTTGATCAACAATTGTGTCGGTTGTTTGAAATTACTTGTTGACAATTTTGCTATACAGGTGCCTTTTTTTCAGTCTTATTGAATTGGTGTAGCCCGCTGTTTTACCTGTAAAGCTGAAACTCCTCAAGCTAGTGCCGTAAAGCGCGTGTGTCAATGATGAAACAATTAAAACTAAATTACTATTGTTGAACAAGTTGAAAAGCAAATTAAATCTTCGATTAAGATAAGTCGAATTTTGGCACTTTTACCTGGAAGGACGGGGGTATATCAACTTGCTACTCAACTTGCTCCAAGTCTCTCGAATTGCCTTCATAGTGTCTGTCCAGTATGTTATGAGATCAGTTGGGCCCGTCTTACTAAAATTTATATTATAGTTTTATAACCAGATATGGTGGTAAGCGGGGGCCGGGGGGGGGGGGGCTTAAATGTGGAAACATGAACGAGGATATGCCATTGAGAGATATTACCACAGAAGATATTACTAAAAAGTGAGGGCTTATCAGAGAGGTTACGGTCGCTTATATGAAGTGTCAACCTGTTCGCTGACCAGAAGAGTGTTGCTCGCGTACTCAAACATCGTCATAACTCAATATGGCGACTGATAAGAACGATTTAATCGAAATTTTAGTAGCAGATTCGGCCGCTTTTTTGAAGAATGTTTCTCTTCAGAACATGGCAAAGAATATATATACAATCAACGAAGTAGTCGGCGAAATAAAAAGTGCCGCAGTGCGTCAGAGGTTAGCTGTATTACCGTATGAAATTATTTTCCGTGTGCCTTCTGGTGAATCATTGCACGTGGGTAAGAATAAATAATTTAATTTATATTTTATAGTGTTGTTGTTGTATAACTTCAATCTTTGTTGCTTTGGTGTGTCGCAATTAATCGCTTGAGAATTAAGAGAGAGACAATTTGTGTATGAGAGGTTTAATTCCGAGTTCGTGTTATTGACTTTCATCTTCATATTTGGCAGAAAAAGATTTTAAATCTTCAATTTTTTACAGTCAATTTCACATAACTTTGGAGCGATTCTAGAATACCCGCCACTAACATTACCAGTAACCTGACCACTACCCTAACTGTAACCACAGGAACATAATTTTACACACCGCTAAATGCAGTGGCAGGGTATTCTAGAACCTAGCCATTGTGAAATCAACTGTAGCTGTATTCGAATTTGCCGCTACAATTAGCATTAGAATTAGCCTTTCTCACACCACCATTTTTTGGTGGCCTTTCAGCCGAAGTCTGTGAGATGTTAAAGCCTAAAAAAAATACCTATGGTTCCGGTTCCCGACCAAACCCATTTTTTCTGCCGACCCTATTATTTTTTGAACGCGATTGACCGATCATATCCAAGTGGATCCATTCTGGGGCCATTGACATGATTTCAAGTAGGAATGTTCGGTATGAGAATTTTCCAATATCAGTATTCTTGGGTTTCATATGTGTCACAGAAGTGACGGGGGGTCAACCGTAAAACAAAACGCAGTTATCAGAGTGAGTTGATTGTTCGTTTTATGTATTAGCCTTGTGTTTGGTGGCAAATACATGGAATTTCAGATTATTTTCTCACTCCAATACAGCATAAGCATCAATACATTTGAGGTTGACCCCCGTCAGATTCACTGTATTTAATGCCATAGTGAAACCCAAGAATACCGGAAAAATGATACCGATATATACCAGTTTTTTCCTTTTAAAATTAGATAGAAAAATTCCTTAGTGGAAATTTGAAGGAAATCTTGATTTTGTTGGCATTGTTTTTAACACAAAATGTCTAATTCATTTTGCCATATGCATGGTGTGTAAATTTGATATGGTATCCCGAAAAATATCCCGATATATTGGAAATTTCGGTATATCGGTATGACTGAAAAACTCCTACTGATCAACCGATATTGGTTTCAATACCAATATTTTAGGTATATTGGTATACCGAACATTCCTTATTTCAAAATGATCAAACTAGGGTGCCCTTATTTGTCATTGTGTCATTCCAGAAAGATCCACACTCTATCTCCCCACAGAGGAAATTTCTGCCATCTGGAAGGGGAGGGAAAAAATTTGTTTCTGATAGTAGTAAGTGTATTAGGACATCTGAAGTGGGTCGGGGAGTCAACTCCCAATTTCCGCCATGGGGGAGGCATGGATTTTTTCTGGAATGACCCATTCTATCATAATTGTGCTGTTATTATTATATTCATGTGAAATGATATTGTCCATTCTTATATAACTCTCACACTATGTTGTAGACAATAAAAACATAAAGTCCACCTAATGTTTAATTACCCATATCTGGGAACCTTATCCCATAGGCCTTAACTGGTTACTGGGTCTAACTGACACTAAGGAAATTATAGAAATTTAATTTAATTTTCTGTAGTATCTGAGTTTGCCAAAAAGACTGGGGATTTTCAAAGTCTTTCTCTTGTTGATCTGAAAGTTTTGGCACTAACATATCAACTACATAAAGAGAAATGTGGAACAGATGGACTAAGATCAGAGCCAACCAAACAGGTAGCCCCTTTGTCTCTATAAAGTTTACATCCCAAAATAGAATAAAATTTGTAGGCTTTCTCCCATGGGCCCATATTCACCATTTTTTTGTGGTGCTGTGTTGCCATATCGGAGAATCTAGCGAATCTAAACAATGTGAAATGCAACTTTACAAAGAATTAACCACTCCACACAACTACTGTACAGTGGTAAAGAATCCAGTCAGGAGCGCTGAAAAAATTGATCCAACACTTTCATACAGTGGTGGCTCTAGTTAAATGCAGAACTGGCCGTTTTAAATACTCTTTCATTCTGCCATGTGTGACCAACTACAGTATAATGAACATTGATAATATACAATTTAATTTAAATATACTGTACTGTACCTGATAAAGTTCTCTTAGAGTTAGCTTAAATTAAGTTTGCACTCTTGTTTTGTGTAAATATTTTACTACTTTTTAAACTACATAATATAATTCAGTGTAAATTTTAACTTTTAACTTGAAAAAATTGTAAACCATAGCCATATGTATTTCAACTTACATCCACTGGTTGCAAAGTCTGTTTTCAATAAATTCAAATTAAAAAGTTATTTCACAGTGCATTTATATACTGTACAGTACATGCACACTCTCAGACTTAGGAAAGGTAGTAATTACTCCATTTTAGATCTTAAATGTTTTCAACATTTTCATCCAATCCATCCACAAAAGATCTTTTGACATTTCCAGGTAGAGGTGGTTGATAAAAGTTTGCAAGGCAATGTTCCTGGATTTTATGTGAAAAGCAAGGTACTGAAGGTGCATCAAAGGTTTTGCAGTTTTATTGCAATTGTTCAACAGATATATTTCTATTATTCTGTGTGTTTGCAGTAATCCATTGAACACCAACGCTCTCCCCTTGACATTCAAGTAAAATCGTCTGGCATTCAGAGGGAGTAAATAATAGCGTAGGGTGAAACTCGATGGATTAACTAGGCAGATTGTCTGATTAACCCGCGATTGAGCACCTGTGCATTCCCCTTGGCAGCAGACCAAGTAGAATAATAAAATAGGGCGCATTAGGATGCAATTCAACTCAGTGAGTAGAAGCAGGATTAAAGTGCATGGTTATTCCTCGGAATATTTTAACCAAATTACAGCGTTTCTGACCTGATGACAATTTTCCTGACCAAATACTAAATTTTGCTGGGCATGCAGAAACTGTTTTCAAACTGCTCTCTGCTCTAGACTGCCCACGAATGTGTGCACAGATATTTGCACATATTATATATCGAGATAAAGCACATAATAAAACAATGGACTACAGTATACTGTATTATGAGAGCAATAGTGATGTATTGTCCAAGTACTAGCATTATAGTATCCAGTTATTATCCAGTGTCGGGTTCTCGTTTTTTCCCGACCAGTATCTGGTAGACTATCCAGTATCCGGCACATCCCCAACCAGGCAACAATGTTATGAAACCGATATAATCACATTATCAATGCTATATGTAGAATGAACATTCTTCACTTTACCACCAGTTTGTCTAAATTAAATATCGTCTAGAGCAATGATGAGCATGCTGATGATGATGAGGTTATCAAAGGAAAATTAGATACAAGTAGCGAGGAAATAAGTCTAGCAGAAGATATAACAAACTGTTCATTGAATGAAAAAGACACTGATTGCGGTGAATGTAATAGCATGAAGGAAAATACAGTTGACGGTCAACAGAAGGATATGGAAACAAAAAATCAGAATGATGATGTTGGTGAAGAAAAAGGGAAAATCGAAGTTCAGGAAGAAAAGAATGAACACGGTCTAGTTGGCGATACTGCCAATAATAACGATGAGATAAATCAAGAACAATCACTTGATAACGATGATGATCAAGCTATTGATTGTAGTGATCAAGATAACATTGATGATGAGGATGTGTGTTACCAAGATGATGGTAACGATGATGGCGATGTTGATTACCATGGCAACGGTGACGATGACGATAGTAGTGATGATGATGATGGTTGGATAACACCGGGAAATATAAGTCAAATAAAAGCAGATTATGGTATTTCAGAGACACAGTCAAGACCTACAAATATCGCAGTTGGTTGTCTTACCACAGACTTTGCCATGCAGGTAATAGTGGATTAGATTTTTTCTTGTGACTCAGCCAACACATTTTGGGTCCTGCAGCCACACATTTTGGGTAAAACGAGCTCTTACTAATATTAGTTCTTGTGCATACATTCTCCATCTTTTGACCAATTGCTAACATTTCATTAGGGCGTTAACATGTGTATGTTACCTTAAGTAATCAACGGGCAGTTTTTGCTATGAAAACTATCAAAATTTAAAGAGTATACTCTAACAGTAAGACGTTTTCTGTATTATTATTGACCTTGAATTTACATTGCTTCAGTTGGTTGAAATGTAAATTTAGATGTTCAATAAATAAATTGAAATTGCTCCTAGAAACACAGAGCCCTGAAAAAAGCCTTGAAGTATTCGTCGAAGTATTCTTTTTTCCCCTATTAAATAAACGCTAGTGTTTTCTGGAATATACTGAAACCTGAAATTAATTCTTTCAGCCTTTTTAAGTCCTTTTTATGATTATTTTATGCCTAACTAAAATTTAAAGAGTACTCTAACAGTCAATTGGGATCTTAATCCTGTTTCTTATCCATTTTATTACTGTAATGTGATTTTGTGACAAATCCTATTAAACTAAAATAAACTAAACCAAGACTACAGAAAGGGTTTGAACTCATTACCTAACAAGCTACTGACATCAACGAATCTTGTTTTAGTTAGCCATGAAATGTTGATGATCTCAACAGGCATATATTCCATTCTTTCTTTATTAGAATGTTCTCATTAAGATGGGTTTGCATGTTATCTCAGTGGAGGGAATGTTAATTAAGGAGGCTCGAAGTTATGTCCTCAAGTGTTACTCTTGTTTCAAGTAAGTTTTATTAACACATGCATGCAGGTAGCAGAAACAACTTACATGCTTTAGTTAGTTTCGTGAATGCTGCAGGATTACTGCACATAGTGTCCCAAAAATGCCCCCACATTATATTTTTATGGTATTAAGGACTGTTCAAAATAACCAACCGTCAACATCGTTCCTAAAATTTGGCAAAACGAGGCCGAACCCTGAAACAGTCGCACTACCGTATATCAAATTTTTAAATTTATTGTTTTAAAGTTATGTGCTATTTGTGATCTCCATTTTTGCGGGACAGGCAGATACATTTTTTACATGAACAATACATGTTCATGAAGGATACCGTAACAGGGATATTTTGCAGAATAGGAAGTTTCCCCAAAATCGATTCCCCAAATTTGAAAATATCTAAATTCTGGGGGGGGAGCATTTCCGCCCGAAATGGAATATGAATATCATTAATATTAATATTAATATTAAACTGGTACATGGTAAGGCATATATAACCTTAAGCATAAAAATGGGTAATCACTCACAGTAGACGTGCAGTTGGTGAACCCAGACATCATTTCTATCTCCCATCACTTGGAAATAGGTGAGCGTAAGAAATGACGTCTGGGTTTGTGACCACAGGAGGGAGGATCCCCCTCCCCCCCAAATAAACTACCCAAGTCCCAAAACCTAAAATACCCCTGCCGTAATATACAGTATTTACAAGGGCAAGCTTTTGAATGTGAAACTCTTTGAAGTTTACCGGCCTTGCCAACTCTGTAATGATGTAAAAACTTAAAGTATGACATGTAATTTCTTAGAGTAACGACTCAGATGCAACGAATATTTTGCCCTAAATGTGGTAACCGTACGTTGGTCAAAGTGTCCGTCAGCGTCAACGAAGAAGGCATCACACGTTACCACATACCGAAGAGAAACAGACCATTTAATATCAGAGGAAAGAAAGTAAGTTCACTTGCATGTACTTTTTATTCACTCACATTGTATATTAAGACTTTCTATATTTTCTAATACTTTGCATGCTAATGCACTGTGATAATAAAATGCAATTCAATCATTTCAGAACGATTGCAATATCAGAGTATTGACAAAAGTATTCACAATTATGAAAAACCCGAGAAAACGATGTTTGTACAATTGAGATATAGCAAGAGGAACTTAAGGTTACAGAACACCTTTGAGTGTTAATTTTGTCTAAAATTTTTTTATTGGTTTCCATGAAAGCATTAAATTAGTTCTACTATCTGACCAAGTTTGGACGAAAAATGTTGAAAACTCGCAGAGTTATTTAATAAAATACATTTCGCTTGCAATAAGAAAAACATTGAAAATCATGTAATATTCAAATTCAATTTTCTCCCGAAGAATTTTACGGCAATTACTGATTTTAAAACGAGTTGTGATCCTGCTGGTTTTGACGAATTTCTCTCAAATTTTCACAGGCCATAGCTAAAGACGTCAGTTTCAAAATTGTGTTCGGCTCTGTTCTAATTTTGGATATTTTAATAATAAGGAGCAATTCACACAAACGATTCAGAAATATATTGCAGTCGTCAAAGAAATCGCCATATCAGCGGAACGACGAAATAAACAAAAATTTCCGAACACAATTTTTTTGAACAACTATTTTACTGTATAAAAATGATATTTTCATAAATATATCTTAAAACCAGCAGGAACATAACTCAAAAGCGTAAAGGTACCGCGACTTTAGATTTTCCTGAATAATTCTTACATTATTTTATTGTTTGTCAATTTTACAACTTTATCATATTTTGCATGCACTGGCTAACATTTGGTGAAAATTTGATGAAAATCGGACTGATTTTGAGCGCGCAGTAGCGATTTTCCACAAAACGCCAAAAAGGGTGTCCTGTAACCTTAATTCACAATACTTGTTGTAACCATTCACCACTTGAAAACAAATTTAAACTTGCATATCATGGCTGGATTCTGGTAAGAGGTGCGTACAGGGTACCTTCCCTGAGATCGTTATGCACCTCTCCTGAGGTTTTCTACACGTCCCCTGAAAAGTCATTCACCTCCTCTTGGGAAAGGTTAAAAGATGGATCAAAGTGAAAAATTCACCAAATGTTTTATGTGTTGCTTATAGGATAAACACTTTGTAAGAATTGAAACAGTGATATCCATTCATCTCTGTGTTAAGTACCCTTTTAATGCAATATTTCGACAGAAACTTTTTTGCCGAGGCCAAATAAAAATAATAGTTGGTTTCAGGTTTCACAGCCATGTTTTATATGGGTAGGTAGGTCGGGAAAACATTTTATTTTAAAAAAAATCTTTTATCTCAAGTATGCAATAAATATAAGTTAAAACTCATTATAAACTCTTAGTTTTTATTGTTTTTACATCAGGTTTTCACCTGCAAACATATAAAACTTGACATGCAAGGAAAGCAGCAACAACTAAATATTTAATGCCAACCGATGTTCAGTCTAAACGTTTAAATGTCAATAAAATGCTTATGGTCGGTTATATTTCTGACAGGTCGGTCGGAAACCTGAAACCAACTATTATTTTTATTTGGCCCGACGAGGATTTATCAAAATTGCATCGACTGAGCCATTCATATTGCAATAAAATGTACTTACTCTAAATTTTCTAGCACCCGTTACCGTTGCCCAAAGGCGGAAGGCACAACAAGAATCCGCTGTTATTCGAGGATCAACTCATAACCCAGCGACGTCTTCCGAAAGCCAAAGATAAAGTGAGCGTGCTTGACGAAGACTACGTCGCTCGTTCGTCGCCATTTGCCGTCAACGATACGACGAGCCGAGCATTCAATTTGGGATTTCATGTTCGCGGACAGAACAAACGTAATCCGAACGAGGCAAGAAAGAAAACAAGACGAAAGAAATAGGACACCACAAAGGGGAAGACGTTTGGTTGATATTGCTTGCAGGATCAAACGAGGACGAGAGTGCACGAGAGTTGGCGGCTGTCTCGAGCTGTTAATGATTTCTGAAAGGAAAGATGGCTTCACTTTTCTCATAGGCCGAATGACTGAAGTTCTTGCTCCTAATATAATTATATAGAGCTCACTGCATTAGGGAGAAAAAAATATGTGGATTTCCGATTTCCCGACCCTACCTCGCTTTTGGACGCCGAAATCCCGACCATGAACTTTTTTGTTGGATCATGCTTCTAAGTGTTTCCACTTAGAGGAAAACGTTTGTAGAAAATGGAAATTTGAGGCAATATTAGGGACGTTTATCTTTGGATGTGGAAGCACTGACTAAACAAACATGGCGTCCGGTTGTTAGGAAAATTAAAAAAAAAATTAAAAAGGTTTAAAAAAAGTTAAAACCGATCTACCCTATCTAAGTTTTTACAAGGCGAAATAGGAAACACACATATTTTTTTGGCCTAGATTCTAGCTCGATTCGTCGTAGAGAATCGAGCTAGAGCCTACATATGACCTAAAACATAGTTGGAACACTCATCAAACCTCTATCCTGTTAATCTAGAGCTTGAATTTTCCCACCGTAACAATGCGTGACTACCAACTCTCATCAACTCTGATCCTCGTTTGACCGCGGGGCTTCATTTTACATACAACCTAACTCACAATCCAAAGAAAAGTTACGTGTGCGTGGATATTCAAACATTAGTGATTGACCGATTGTGGAACAATCGGAAATTACCGATTATTCATGCCACAATCTGCCCGATACCGAGTTTATAATGACGTCATAATATCAGTCGACCAAGTAAAGGTGACGCCATCCATGTCGATTTTTTGACGATAATTTCCAACGTACTGTAACATGTTACTGCAACCAAAGATCGTTAAAACCGTTAATAAATGGCACGCTTCACGCATTAATTTAACATATTGCGTTAAAACGCAACGTGTATCGGCGTATTTGCTGTGTTGGTGTATCAACGTGCATGCAATGCACATAATTTTTAAAGTGCGTATTTTCTCAACAATCGGTTTTAGACAATCGGATATAGATCAATAGATAATCAAATATAGATAATTCTACCGATTCCGATTGTCTACCGGTAAGGCAAAAATCGGCACGATGCCGATTATCGGTCAATCATTATCAAACATGCGTCATAACGAATTTTTCTTGCAAAAAGAGGCTCGGAGCACCCTGCCCACAGAGTAAATCGGCCAGACAAAAACCACTTGAAAAGAAAATATTTTTTTCGAGATCTCCTGCCCTGCCCACAGAGTCACAGAGTAAATCGGCCAGACAAGGACCACTTTTCCGTCGGACACGGTTTGGTAATTTGGATGATTTGATCCATACATATACATATACATAAAGATTAGGTCTGCTGCCTCGCTCGCTCGCTACGGCAGCAATCAACACGAGTGGAAATTGGGAAAACGAGAAATTGTGTGGAAACACGACGCCCGAAGGGCGGAGTGTTTTCACACAATTTCGAGTTTTCCCAATTTC